CTATAAGCGCTCTTCTCACCCCGCACCACCAGGAGATGTGTTGTTATAAGACTTTTTGATTGGAGGGGAGCGATTTGTACATTGAAACATAGGGTGTTCAGATGTTTTTTAGAGAACTTGCACCTGTCCGTATGAAAAAGGCTGGTATTTTTCAGCAGGATTCCAACGATATTTGGCGCCAATTGGCGCAATCGAAAATCTCGGCTCGAACACGTCGTCAATACTCAGGAGCAGGGAGAGGACCACCAGCCGCGCCCACTGGACAATGTGAGCCACACTTTTAAAACAATTTCGTCTCTTGTCCGAATCCTAACTTGAATTGCAGGTTGTAGTTGCCAACAAGGCCCTCCTGGCCCTCCTGGTCCACGTGGTAAAGACGCACAACCAGGTAGGTTCCGCACTCAATGGTTTAGTCATATTGAGGTCAAAATTTTCAATTTAGGAAAAAATGGTCTGCTTGGAATGAACGGTCGCAATGGTCGCAATGGCCGTTATGTGGCCGCCGAGATCAAAACCGAACCATCGTGCCAAAAGTGTCCCACAGCCCCACCGGGACCACCTGGCTATCCCGGGCGAAAAGGACCACGTGGGCCTGCAGGGTAAGTTGATGCCACTGTTATCGATGGCACAAAAGCACAGAAACAGCATTTTAGAGCTCCTGGTAAAAGTGGAACGCCGGCAGTACCTGGTCGAAATGGTCCACCAGGACCACAAGGTGTACGCGGACCTCCCGGCGAGATTGGAAGCCAAGGACCTCCAGGCGACTCGGGAAAGGTGCTGTTTGGAGGACCACCTGGTCCACCCGGAAAAATGGGTAAGTGCTTGTTTCGTAAAATCAATTTCTCTTGGAATTGCTGCAGCTGGGCAATCTTCTCGTTATTTATGTCCTGTATTAGTGTAAAATTCGCGACATCCATCGCAATTGTGAATGCCGAGCATAAGGAATTGTAGATGAGAGGCTGGTCATAGACGCAGAAGTTTCCAACACCAACTAGTCAATGACTCCGAAGCTGAATCTCCTCGCTTTCCGGACAGTGGGAGAATCATTGAGCTCATTTCATGACAGTGCTATCGTGGTACTCAAGATAAAAATGGTATAGAAGATAAAACAGTCGGTGTACCCGTTTCTGAGGTAGCCATATGCCATGCATGTGGAACTGCGATACTGTTCCGCATAAACAACCTTCGCGTGCCGGCCGATGATCATTACTATTTTCATGCTCGCAGGCAAGTATTATGCCGAGTAACTGACACCCGTGGGAGGAAAAGCCTGAGTGGATGATCTGACTTAGGGGAGATTTGACTCCTGAAGAGGCCAGAGATCTCCCACCACTGTGCTTCACGACGCTTCCCCGCACATTCACTTTTTCCTAAAAACAAGATGTGCCTGTCGGGTGGGATCTCCAAATGTGACCAGTTGAGGAAAGCCTCAATGTGCCAGAAGTTGCGCGTACGTTCTTCCTAGCCCCCTGAACACAATTTCGTACATTGGTAGTAATTTAAAGAGCATAGGCAGCTCGTGAACCACTAATCAGAAAAAATCGCGCTATCACAAGCTCTCTATCAGTGCGCTGGTCAGCTGGCACGGTGTCTAATCTGGCTCCCATCTAGCACTATCAACTGCCAGTGCTGGTTGGCAAAACCTTCATGCAAATTTATTGGGAACACCTCAAAAAACCCCCAACCATGGCTGCTAAGATAAGGTTCGGGCGGTTTTTTGAGTGTTCCCAATAAGGTTCGATCATACAACTGCAGAATAGCGCCAGTGGTCATTTACAGGGCATAATCTGAAGAAAAATCAAAGCCGCTGAAAACTAAGAGAAAGAGAAAAAGTCTTTGTTTTCGCTTCCAAATTCCCGCGACTTGTCAGTCAACTGGCAGTCAAGATACAGCGGCCCAAATGTTCCGAAGTAGGGTACAATGGTCCCTCGGCGGCCGCATAGTAATTTTCTAAAAAATCAACGACAGGAAGCTGTCCTGCGCGCACCCCTTAACTTCATGTGGCCACCAATGGGGTTTGGGGGTCCATACCGTCTGGGCGAAAGTGCATAAAGAGGCCGGTTTTGGCCAAGTGTGCTCACGCTCACAATGTCTCCAAAAGTCAAAGTCCCATACATCGCAGTTTCTTCACCCATAGTGGGTGCCTTGCGAAAAACAAAACCCTAGGAAATTCAAGAGATGGTGAGGAATGTCTAGAAAGACGATGAGTCGTCACACTAGTGACATAACGAAAATGTAATAAGTTGTTCTCGGAGAAAGACAGTCAGCGAAAGTTTTGCTGAAAACGGCATTCTCTGAAGAATGATGATGCTAGCTTCTGAACATGTCATTAATGAGTAAACAAAACAGTTATGGTTCAAATGAGACCGAAATGGAGACAATTCCTGACATCGCCTACGAACAACAGCGCTTTTATTCCGGGGATGCAGATGCAAAAAAGATTTGAAGCAAATGATAACTAGAGTACGACTGATTGTGAATGGAATGGCAGAATCCAAAGTCATTGTACCCTGCTGATAAGGAGAGCGAAGTAGTATCAGAGACTCTTGAGATATTTCGAAATGGAAAGTTCACGATGTCTTAGGAATTTTGCGTATACATAGAAGGTGCTGTTGAACGTTGAAGGAGGCATTTGAAAAACAAAACAACCGATTCTATCTGCAAAACTAAAGTCGCCATCCGTCAGTTTTGCCTCGCGGTAACCCCTTGGCTGGCCGGGTTACTAGCCGGTCAAGGGTTACCGCGGCGACCATCTGTTTTCAGCCTAATTTAGCGATTTACTCCCTAATTTTTGCTATATGAAGTATATTTAGCGTGAACTCTTATTTTTGTTCTTGTAATGGAGTGTCTTTCGCAATTTTGTAGGTATTTGTTTATTGTTTGTTTAGTCGTTTAATTGTTCGCAAAGATTAGAGAAAACCTCTCAACCATAATTTACCTTGTGAAGACAAGGAACAGCTAACCTTGAAAAAACAGCTAAAAACAGTGAAAAGTAGGGAGAAAATGACTAAACCAGGCCGGAAACAGCTGATCGCCGCCAACAGTTCCTACGCACGCGGTCGCTGCTGCAGCCGCGCCTGCAGCCTTTTGACGCACGGGTGGCGTGCAACAGAATCGTCCGGGGCAGTTCCTGCCGCACGCGGCGCGTTGCGCGGTGGAATGACGCAGCAGCTCAAGGACGTGCGTTTGCTAGCTAATAGCATTGCGATTGGAGCAATTGATTTACTACAGCGTTCATGTGCAACGTTTACCAGATTTCATCAATAATTGATAATCTTCGCACTCGTTGATGTTCGAGGGCGCTCATAGGCAAGGTTCTTGTCTGGAACGCTCGATGCTCTACCAGCGAGTATTGCAGTGCTCAGAAGCATACGAGGACGTTTTGAAATGGGAATGCTGCTATCAATGGACTAATACTCGATAATACCAATATCAATAATACTAATAGAGCATCGAGCGTCTGGACACAGGTAATCTTGCGCGCACACGAACACCAACGATTAGGTGAGGAGCAATAACATTAGGAGTATGAGAACGACCTCTGCCCAACTGCTTGCATAGCAGCCGCAATGGTGTGATCGCTGCCCGTAGCAAAGCGCGCCCAGGAAAAAAATTCAAAACCAGATAGAAGAGGCATAGACTTTGAAACCCAAGCCGACGTGCCTTCAAAGGAAAGGAGAGGAAAGGGCATCACAAAAAGTCCCACTGAAATCAAGGCAAGGGTAGAAGATGAAGAGATGGATAATAAATGCTAACAAGAGCAGCGCTTCCTATGATGCGGTTAGATCTAGTTGAACAAAGATGCTGTGTTAGCTATGACGGTGGAAAGAAGGAATATATCAAGAGGCGGTGCAGTTCTTTGACTTTGCCAGCTGGATAGAGGTACCCATGAAGGTATTATTAAGGTATGGAATCTCAAACGTATTAGAATTTACGGCCTGTCTATGGTTTGGACAGGAATCCTGTCTGGCACTGTGATGTGAGCTTTTTGTGCGAGCCGCTATCACCCTTGTGACAATATCCAGTTCCTCTCTTTTTAGAATTCCGATAGACCGACAATTCCAACCCGTTCTCCTACACATCTTCACGTTGCTCAATGGGAGAACGGGATAAGATGGGTAGAATAATCGCCTCCATAGGCGAGGTAGACTAGTCCGCACGCGGGGCGGTGCTGATATCCAAAAGTCTATGGTATTAGCATTGTGAGCTGACGTGTATCCATCGATACTATCAAGCAAAGTACACCCCTCAAACCCTTAGCTGCTACGTGGAGCCGATGTCTCCTCTCGTGCTCGTTTAGCCTTCCGTCTAAGCCCTCTCGACCGTTTTTTTGTCGCAAGCTCCTGCGCAAAAACATCTGTCAAAAGAATCGCTTCGCTCAAGCAGATTCCAAAGACACTTCATGAGCGTCAGTTAGCCCTTCACCCACGACGAAAAACGGGGACAGGGGGAAGTGACGCTCCATAAAATCGTATTCAAAATTCTCTACACAGATCCTACAACAACAACAACAACAA